ATCTTCAGGAGTAGCTTCAGACTCATCAAGCTCTTTGAGCTCCTTTTCAAGAACATATTCTTTGTTCTCAAAACGAAGAGCCATCTTGATGTTGCGCATCCAATCGTTATAGTTTGAGCCATCCATAACGACTTTGGAGCAGATATTGAGCAAAGAGAAGTTTCTGGTTGGAGGAGGATGAAGCAGAAGTGTTTCCAGGAGTAGACATCTGAAAAGAAAGAAAGTTTTAGTTAGATTTCAAGATACCTCAATATAATAACCCAAAGATAAAATATCAAGGTTAGGATCCAACTATGAAGATTCACAACTTAGAAATGGGATGCCGAGATCCAAGTGTAAATTTCATAAAGGTAGGTGAATGACGATTCACCAATTCCACCATTAGACGAAACAAACGAAGTGAAATTCCTAATTCTTTTGAGATACATTGAAACTATTCAATGGCATGTTTTAATCTCAGATTATGCTCTTCTATTTGTGACTGGGATGCCGAGGATCACAAACAAGATGTGAATAACCATGCAAATGTGCTTGGTAACCTCATTGTCTTTATCATTAACTATTGATGTGCTGGTAAACCACACACGCTCCATCAAAATGACAATTATGAGATACCCATTACTACTCTTTATTAGTGCCCTTTAGTGTGCTGGTTAACCACACACGCTCCACTAACGACCAATAAAGCATAATGTGCAATTTCATGGATTAGCATACTTTTCACATTTTTCCTAAAGTAACTAGAGTTGGGATTTTAAAATAATGTTCTAGTACTTTCTTTAATGTCATTATACTTTTAATGAGAAGTAGTTGTCCTATCAAATCCGTTCTGCTAACGACCCTCCACTAATCAAGGAAGCGGTGGGTGAGAGTGGACACCCATTCAACTACCATTTTATAGGCAGTTTCCTTATACCCCCCTTATAGATTAGCTTCGTGAATGAGGCATACTAGCGATTTGACTGACCATATTCTTATACATATATAATATTAAACTTTTAATCATAATACATATATAAGGGTGTGTTTTAAAACATTTTAAAACTTCAAGGGTTTATATAATTTCGAAATTCAAATATTAAATTTAAATTTAAATAAACCAATTAACTAGATTTAATATTTATCTTTTAATTAACTATTAATCAAATTATTAAATCTTGTAAGGATTATCTAATTAAATTAATCAATTAATTTAATCCTAATCCTTATCCCTCTAAATTTCGAAAAATAGGGTAAGGATAATTATCCAATTAATCTAATTAAGTAACAATTATCCAAAACAAGAAACCCTAAAACTTCTAGCATTTCGAAATTTACAAGGGAGGAGGCTAGGGTTTTCAAAACCCTAACCCTAATTTCGATTAGGGTTCTTTGGAGGCTAGGGTTTTCGAAAAAACCCTTTTATCCAAAACCCTAGAAATCGAAAATTTGGCCTTTAGGGTTTAATGGCTATAAACCCTAATTTGCAATTCAACAATTATAGCAATTCAATTTAAAACAAACAATGGCTCTGATACCACTGATGGGTTTTAGGTAAAACAAATAAACTAGAAAACAATTCCTAAGTTCACATGCAACCTACTTTGGATCTATGTTTTAACTATTGAACATATAACTTTGAATTGCAAAACAAGAACCCTAGAGGAGAGAGGCTAATTTCAAATTAACAAACTAGGGTTTAGGAGTTACATACCTTTCAATTGTTATAGCAAACAATTGATAATCCTCTTGATCTTGATCTTGATCTTCTTGGAAGCTTAGCACCACAAATGTAATGCCTCTAATGGAATCACACCCAAGAACTAGCAAGAAGGAAACTTGGAGGAGAGAGGATGGAGAGAGTATGCAATTTCGGCCTTAGGGTTTCTTCCAAAGAAATCAGTGACCTCAAATGTGAGCCAGGAGGCTCCTTAAATAGCTGAGGGATCTAGGGTTTAGGGAAAACCCTAGTTATCCTTTGCTTAGGGCCTAAGCAAGATCCAAAGGCCTTATTTGGACCCCTTGGACGAAATCTCTAGGGTTTCCCCTAAGAATTTCGTCCACCTCCTTCCAAGGGGGTTCTGGAACCTTCCACTCAACTATTAGTTAATTGCAAACTAGTCCCTGCACTTTATAATTAATTCTTTTAACCCCAAAATGAATTTTGATTAATTTCTGGCTAACTATTAATTAAACATAATGATTTCTAATTAATATATTAATCTTTTAACATATTAATAAATCATTTATTATATATATATATTAATTATTAATCTTATAAATTAATATCTCTCCTTTCATAATTTCCTTGTCCAGTTGCTAGGTTGAGGGCAACCCAAAAGGACTGTGCTGCTATCAATTCAAGTACATACCAATTATAGTTATGGGCTTAGACACCTAATCCAACACAAATAACAACATGTATCGGGTCCACAACTAAAAGACTGGATTACCCCTGAGCCCACAATATGAGTTTGGCTTGCCTTTCGGGCCCACAACTCGTATCTGGCTTGCTCCTGAGCCCATAGCATAAGTTTGGCTTGCCCTCGGGGCCCACAACTTATGTATGGCTTGCTCCCTGGCCCAATCAATCATCGGACTGAAATACCCTCATGCCCTCATTACGAGTCTGGCATACCACTCGGTCCTCAGCTCGTATTTGGAATGCACTCGAGCCCTCAGTATGAGTCTGGTATGCCCTACCCGACCCTCAACTCATATCTAGAATGCTCCAAACTTGTTGGCTACAACACGAAGCAGTACAACCTCAACCCAACATAATATGTCGACATACACCAGATAACAAAAATATACAAATAATAATGTAGACAGAATCACAGGTAGTCCTACAGATCTACCAGACTAGCACATCGGTAACTAGCATATAACCATGCAAATATATTCCATACTCATCATATCAGTGTATAGCAGGATACCAATCCAATGGACCGACCTTGGTGCCTTCGACCCGTAAGTACAGTGAGGAAAACTCACCTGAAGCGCCTGGATATCTTAGACAAATGCTCGGACCGCTGATCTGGAAATCCCGCACACTAGCACCATTAAATACCATCCAATTAATAATTGAATCTTGACACATACTCAAGAATCTGAATTGCTTGCCTAAAGACCAGGGTAAAAGACCATTTTATCCTTTTTCTTACTTGGCCCAAAACCAAGGCCCGATATGGCCCAACTGCATAATTTGGCCCAAAAACCATCATTGCAATTCAGCTTCTTCTTTTTCTTTATGTTCTTCCACAACCGGTTCTTCATTGCGATGATATTCCAACACTTTTTTGATAATAAATGGATCCATAGATCCTCTTTGACTATCAATAAGTTGTGCCTCTTTTTGTTTTCTTTTACGTTTAGAAGAGCCCAATTCAAAATTTTCTAGTTGGAGCCATGTTTTTTCTAAAATAAAAAAAATCTATATTAATAACTCTACAATATATGTTTGTAATATTTATTAAAAATTTAATGTTTAAAACAATCCTCGGTGTTAATAACCAATCCACTAATATGATTTAAATACTCAAACCTATAACCTATAAGTCTATGATATTAAGTCTATGATATTCAAAGGATTCAATTCAAATATACAAATTCACAAATGTAATGCTCAAATGAAATATATTTTTAGTAAAAACAAATAACAGTGAAATTAAAAAATACTCAAAATTCTTGTTTTTCAATATATTATAATAATATATTAAAAGCCATGCCCCAGCCATCCCCAAATTCGTCCATGCATTATTGCTCTACTTTTGACCATTATGACCTATTGCCTTAAATATTGATAAGCTAAAAAGACTCAAACAATAAACAATAAAATATAGATAGATCATAGACCGAGAAACCCTATCAAACCAATACATAAAAGAATAAACCAATAATATTTAGGTGATGATTGTTTTTTTAAGCAAAAATTCATGAAGTCTGCGGACCACCTCTGCAACCCTCTGCAGTAGAAGAGGTGGACCAAACGGCTGCAGACTGTAATAAGAAGCGTGTTTGTTTTTTTAACATCTGCATGCTGCTGCATATATTAAAAAATTAAAATAAACTGATTTTATAAACCGAAATAGTTTTTTTAATACCAAAAAATTAATAATGTATGACATTTCAACAATAATTTATGATATTTCAGCAAAAAATAATGATATTTCAACATAAAATAAATATATTTTAGCAAAAAATAATGATATTTTATCAAGAAATTATCATTATTCAATATAAAAAAAGAATTCAACAAGAATAAAAAAAACGAAAAAAAAGATAAAATAAGATTTCAGCAACATATAATTAAGATTTCAGCAAGAAAAAAAAAGAATAAGATGTTGGAAGAGGCAATACAAATGCTGCGCCAAACAGAACACGCGCATAAGTTTTTTACTCTGAAGACTTCTAAAAAACAAACAGCTGCGAGATTAAAAGTGATGCGCGTGTGCTGTGCCGCGCAACAATAAGAGTTCTGAAGATGTTTTTTTTACAAAAAACAAACAACACCTTAGTTTCTCAGCTTCATTATTCATTGATTAACTTTGTGGAGCATTAAACACAGAGAGAAAGACAGAAATCACTAAGCAGTGAAGCGACAAACATGGTTGGAAAACTAAAGGAAATGAGATACTAACCTTTAGTAAGCAATCAGCGAGATATTAAAAACAACAAAATACGAGAGACGAGCAAGACAATTACCAACTTTCTTAGAGTTTGATTTTTTCTTTAGTTTCGATGAGTTTATAAAATACAAAAACGTTTGCGAAAAATTTATATAAAAAATCAGATTTGCATTTTTTAGATAAAAATATTTTTCTTAAACTGTTGATAAATTTTAAATTTATGAATAGATTTTGATTTTTGTTGATTTTTTTCATAATTAAAATACATCTAAAATTGAAACCAAATGTTACCTAGCTAATTTTATTTAATGATAAAACATAAAAATGTAATATTTTTTTTTGAGAAACATTAATAATTTAAGACCAACAAATTTTCTTTTAGACAACGGCGACCTTCCTGGTAAATTTCGAAGTCCGGTCCAAACAACGGCAGACCTGTCTGGTAATTGGTATGGTAGCTTCCCTGGCCCATAGACCAAGCCCCAAGGATCCGGTCTTTAATCTTTGTTTATCCTTTTAGACAATTATGCGACAAAAATGAGCAGCAGACCAGGACTCTCCTCTGATGTCGACAAGAAAGCCCAAGGTAATTCGCTAAATTCAATTCTATTTCGATTTTGATCTTCCTCTTTAGGTTAGATGTTCTGCTTTCCTATTCCTCGTGATATGTATGATCGGTTCACTATAATTTGTATATAGAAGTTTTGATTGGTGTGCCTGAGCAAATTTGCATCTGTTACTGTTACTGTTCTGTAGATCTGTTAACGAGAAAGAACCTAAAGGATCAGAAAGTCTCTGTTTTAGCGAGCAGTGCTACGGAATTTGTAAGTATCATCTGCACTCTTTTCGTTACCCTAGATGCTGTGTGTTCATGCAAATTTGGTTCACTCGTTAGCGGTTGCTTATGAAAAATTGACCATTTTTTTTTAAGTTTTGAATTCTAGCAACTTGCATTGCTAAATATTTTAAGATACATACCTTTCATTTCAGTAGTCTCATTCTGCTGTTTATTAAGATGAAAGTTAACATTTGACTACATCTATACACGTATTTCCCCTTTCTTGGCCCATTGTGGTCTGTGTAGAATCATACTTCACTCCAGACGCATCTAGTAATTGTTTCTTGCATGTCTACTTATTTAGTTACTAGGTTACATTGATTCTAGTTTACACTTTACAAGCATACCTCTAATAAGCTTGGAGCAAAATGTAGTAACCACTACTTGTATTTACACCTTAGTTATCTTTTAATTCTATCTTTCATTCTTTATCCAGTAAGGCAAAATGTTATGCCTCTCCCGCACACAGTGGGGTCCTACCTGGCAATGGCGGTCCCACACGGGAACACCGGGCCACCTAGTGAGGCCACACAACATTACGGGAACACCTCTCTCTTTTCTCTTCTATTTCTTTTTTTACAGTCAAAAAAGTTTTTTTCTTTTTCAATTACTATAAATACTCATTACCCCTCCAAATTTGTTACACAAACATAATTTAACTCTCTGTTTCTAAAAAAATAGTTTATCATATAAGTTTAAGAATTGAAAGATGGAATCATCTTCATCATCATCGGATGATTGGTCGAAGGATTGTAGCACAATTTTTCTCACAACAATTGTAGGAGCAGCAAGCCTCATTTTGGCTGCTGAAGCTGAAAGTTCACTTTCAAGAACAGGAAGAGCTGCTTTAAACAGAGATCGTGAAGCTGCACACGATAGTCTTGTAAGAATGCAGCTTTAGTAAGTTAAATGTTTTAAAATGAATAATTATTATTTCAATTAAAAAATAAAAAACAGGGATAAGTTATAAAACAAAACAGTGACACATTGAAAGATGGGAATAAATAACACATAGCCTAGGTCATATTCTTGATTTGAATGTATAGCATGCATCGTACTTTTGCATAAGATCAATTTTGATTGGAATATAATCATTGTTTTTATGAATCATACAGAAACATGTTTTTGTATAGTCGTCATAATATTGTAACAAACATTAGTTGGTCATCCCTTTCAGAATACTGCAAGATATTCACCAAAGAGACCAGTTGAGAATGATGTTAATGGGATGAATCTAGAGTCAAACACTAGATCCACCTCAGGAGCTAAAAGTCAAACCATTGGAGCCAAAAGGCAAAAGAAAACAAACGAAGGGTTAAAAGATACGGGTTTGCAAATAAATGGTCATCCTCAGACAGACAAATGCTTTGGCTTCTGAAAATGTAGCTACAACCAATTCTAAATTGGAGACCGAGATTGAAAAATCTCTTTCTAGCGGGCAGCAGGATGCGTTGAATTCAAAAAAACGTCCTTGTGCCTTTTGTCATTCTTCTAGTCAGACAGAGGTGAGTTTTAGAGACAAATTTTTTCGTCTGTGTAAAAAAAGATGACATAAGAATCTTGATAGGTTATTTTATATATATATATATATATATATATATATTGTATAGGGAAGTGGACCATTTGTGTCTTTTGCCCAAGGGAAGGAAGTAGTGGGGTCTTTGGCCAACTTCTCTAAGGTTACACATGTTCACAGAAATTGTATTCAGTGGTATGTTATATTGTTATTGAGCTTACAACATTAAAAGAATTCTTTGTTGTGTGAAGATTACAAGTGATATTTACAATCACAGGGCTCCTCGGATTTACTTTAAGGATGGAATTATTCAGAATTTAGAATCAGAAGTGACAAGGGCCAACAAGCTTAAATGCAGCAGCTGTGGTAAAAAGGGAGCTGGTCTTGGCTGCTATATGGAGACATGCCAAAGAAGTTACCATGTGCCTTGTGCATATTACATTCCTGAGTGCAGATGGGATGTAAGCCACTATTTATGCACACTTATTGCTGTTATAAGGTTTCTTATTAAAAGGTTTCTAATTTTATGCCTTTTATAGGACACCTATTTAATGTTGTGTCCAAAGCATAGAACAATGAAATTTCCAAACGAAATGGAGGCAGATGATGGGAAGCAAGACACTGAGAAAAGGTATCAGTTTTTTTATATGACTTTTCTGTGTAGTTTTGTTTATGTTTGTCATTCTGATTACAGAACATCTACACATCTGAATCCCTGCACGACACCGTTGGATGCCGGACAGAATTTGGTGTTTTGTGGTTCGGATCTTTCTACAGAAGAAAAGGTTGGTATAAAAAGCTGTTCTTGTTACTTGTTAGAATTAATGTGTGTTCATCATGTGTCCCTTTTAATCCACACCTTTGAAATTGCAGTGTTTGCTGGTTGATTTTGCAAGCAATAATCAGGCAGTAGTGTTCAGATACTGGAAACCTAATGTTACCCATGTCATTGCTGCCACAGATTCAAATGGTGCATGCACAAGGACATATAAAGTTCTGATGGCTATTTTGAATGGAGTATGGATTGTTAGTGTTGAATGTAAGGTTTCTGATATTGGCCCAATGGTTGATGGTTTTTAGTTTTTAATGATATTTGTTATATGTTTTCAGGGGTAAAAGCTTGTATGGAAGCTGGGTGTCTTGTGAATGAAGAACCATATGAAGTTCATCTAGATACCCATGGCTGTACTGGTGGTCCCAAAGCTGGGAGGCTAAGAGTTCTAAATAATGTAAGACAAATCTTTCCCCTTTAAAATTAATGGATGATCATGGAAGTTATATCCTCCAATTTGTTTAGGAAATCAACATTAGTAATCAATGCTGCAAAGGTCACCAGGCTTGGCTTGGGTTTGGTTGGTAAACTAGGGACTAGCGACTAGTCGGCCTATCACGGGGATTAGTTGGCGTTCCTAAGTTGTAATCAATTATGTTACAAAAGATAAAGGGAAATCTGCCTAAAAGTCCCTATATTTTGGTTCTATTGACAATAGTCACCCTTGATTTTTTTTTTTTTAATTTTTTTTTTTTTTTGTATTTAACCATTGGAACCGACTATTTTTAGGTAACCGCTAACAATAGCAAATTTCGATGGTTAAATTGTAAACAAAAAATATCAAGGGTGACTTTTTTGCTAATAGGCCAAAATATAAGTACTTTTTTGTCAATGTATAATAATTTTTAACCTCAACTCTTATATATTTGAAGATTAAGTTATAATCTATTTTTGCTGACACAACCATCATAATTTGTTTGATTTTTACTATATGATAATAAATAAATACAGTTTTTTTTAATTATAATTCTATTTAATAAATTCCTAAAACCAATTAAAATGTAAAAATATATTGTTATGAAATATATTGTCACTTTTTTTATGATGGAACTAAATCAAAATTTGATACAAAATACATCCACATACCAAGTACTTGATTGAAAAATCTTCATATGGGTTGCTATATGGGTTGCTGTGTATAAAATCATGATTAACAAGAAGATGATTTGTAAATGAAAATTTCTTGCAAGTTGCATAAATAGGTTTTTAGATAAGTATGAAACTACTGTTGACATTGGTAACCATTATGAAAATCCAAGAGAAAAAGAAGACTGTATGATGTTTGTTGTTTGAATTTTTAAAATCGGAGGCATATTGATATCAACGTGGTATATTGTAATCTATATTCTATATAAATTAAGAATATTTATTGCTTAGTTGTCATAAGAATATAGCTTCTATGTCATGCAGACAAGACTATTTTGCATCTTCTCTATCGATCTGTGGATGAATTACATGCATTGTTTTCAACCAAGTACTTGGTATGTGGATGCATATTTCATATCAAATTTTTATTTAGTTTCATCATTAAAAAGTGACATACATTTCTTGGATTTTCATAATGGTTAATGGTTTCATACTTGTCTAAAAACCTATTTATGCAATTGGCAAGAAATTTTTATCTGCAGATCATCTTCTCTTTAATCGTGATTTTGATACACACCAACCCATATAAAGATTTTTCAACCAAGTACTTGGTATGTGGATGTATTTTGTATCAAATTTTGATTTAGCTCCATCATAAAAAAAAGTGATGTTACATTTCATAACGATATATTTTTACATTTTAATTGGTTTTAGGATTTTATTAAATAGAATTATAATTAAACAATCGTATTTATTTATTATTAATTTATTATATATTGAAAATCAAACAAATTGTAATGGTTGTGTCGGCAAAAATAGATTATAATTTAATCTTAAAATATATAAGATTTGAGGTTAAAAATTATTATGCATTGACCAAGGTTGTAGAAAACACTAGACGTTAGCTAGGCGGTGGACTGGGGTCTAGGGATTAATCGGTTAGACGGGGATTAATCGGGGACCATTAATTATTAAAAAAATAATTCAAAATTTTATAAACTGTCAGCAGGGGCAATTTGAGAGTTTATCAAATTCAATGCAAATGAAATCCTCATTCTTATTCTTGTCCTAACTGTTGTCCATACATTAAATGGAATCCTCACTCTTGAATATAAAGTGTATAACAGGTAAAATGAAACCAATTTCACTTCCAAAAGACATTGCACATTCATAATCTGCCTCTTATGACATTGAACTTTAAAACTTAAACTTTAACATTGCACATTCATAGGCCAATTGAAGCTTGCATATTCAAGATGTTAGCAGCATCAATAGCCCCCTCTGCAGCTCCTGCTCCAATTAAAGTATGGACCTCATCAATAAATAGTATAATTTCATCATTTTGTTTGATTTCTTCCATCAGCTTCTTCAATCTCTCCTCAAACTCTCCACGATACTTTGTCCCAGCAACAAGTAGACCCATGTCTAGAGTAATCACCTGAAAAATATAGGAACAAAAATTAACCTGTTAATTGAAATTTTGAACTCATGTCACTAGAACATATACAAACAGGAAGTCTGGAACCCACCTTCTTCCCCTCAATTGTTTTTGGAACATCCCCATTTGCAATTCTTTGGGCAAGACCTTCTGCAATAGCAGTCTTTCCAACACCGGGTTCTCCAATGAGGCAGGGATTGTTTTTTGTACGTCTTCCCAGAATTTGAGTAACTCTTTCAATTTGTGGCTGCCTTCCAACAAGGTTATGGAAAATCGATTTTACAAAGGGTTGTTGAGCGATCGACCTAGAAACGAACCCTGTGTAGATGATAAAGACCGAAACTTTACAGCTTAAATCGAGTTAAATCGAGCAGTCTTCACAAATCCGTTGATTAACAACTTAAATCGAGTTTACTAGATAAAATCGAAACTTTACAGCTTAAATCGAGTTTGAAGAACTAACCTGTGTAGATGATAAAGACCGTTGTCAGAAAGAATGGAGGCTCTAACAGCGATGAAGACGGAGGAGGAGAAACGGGAGGGTGCGATTGGATTTCATGGATTGCGGCTTCAAGAGGTGATGGCGACGGCGAGGGTGAGCTTCAAGTTCTCCCAGCTTTGAGTCGAGAGAAAAAGTGAGAAAACGGTTTCACAGGGGACGATGGAATGAGAAGTGAGAACGAACCCTAGCAAAAGTTTTCAGTTTTGACAATTTTGCCCCTAATTTTTTTTGAAAATCTGTTGACCAAAGTTGACCAATTAAACCGCCTAGAGCCGATTAGCACCGATTAGACCCGATTAGCTCCGAGTTTGACCGACGTTGACCAACCCCGATTATCTTGAGCGATTACACATAAACGTGATCGGTTGCAGTCCGCCTAGCGCCTAGGCGCCGATTAATCGGCCGCCTAGGCCGATTTTTACAACACTAGCATTGACAAAAAAGTACCCTATATTTTGGCAACTCAACAAAAAAGCCACCCTTGATATTTTTGTTTACAATTTAACTATCAAAACTTGCTATTGTTACCTGGAAATAGCCGGTTCCAATGGTTCAATTGCAAGTAATAGCCGGTTCCAATGGTTCAATTGCAAAAAAAAAGCGTATTGTCAGTAGAGCCAAAATATAAGGATTTTTATGCTTATTTTACAAAAGTAAAATACTCATGTTTAAATAGTAGGTTGGTTCCCGTGGACTCGGTTCTTTCCTCAAAAAGTAGTACTCTCGATATAGAACTTCTACGAGGATTTTTGATTTTCATCAGCTTTTAAGGCTTCACTAACCCTTCCTGTGGCAATTCAGACTCGTTTAAATGTAGTGTCATTGAGATGCTTCATGGACTGCTAAAAATGCCCACAACCTAATACACTTGTGTCTCAAACGCAGGCTAAGACGTTGACATGAGATTTTTTCCCCCATGCCCAACAAAATACCCTTGAATTGTTCCAACGTCCAGTTGTCTTGTGTCTGAGATGCCCACGCAGCTGACTTGGCTTTAGAGGGCGTTTTAGGATTTATTTGACCACTTTTCACTTTTTCTCTTAAAAAAAGGCAGCCACCCCCCCAAAATTTTTGCAACTTTAGAGCTAAAAAAACTACCATTTTTCATCGTTATTATTATTATTATTATTTTTACAAAATCGTCCAATCAAACACCAAAATCACCTATATTTTGAAAGATACATAAAAATACCATATTTGGGGCTGATGTTGAAGTGAAGAAAACTTGGCGTTTCGAATTTTTGGAGCTTTCTTTCAAGTCTTGCATTTTCTCAATTATATCCATCATCTATTTCATATTGCACCCATAAGAGGTAAAAAACGACGACGATTGCCTCACGAGCATCAAGTAGTCGGAAACCACCGTCTGTACCGAGGATGTAAGATATGAGCATTTCCACTAGCATTTAGATCGTGTTCGCCCGACCCTTTGGGAGTCGACACACCCGCCCGATAGAGCATATGTTGGCTGAGTATAGTGTGGAGCGGGTTAAGCTTTATGGGGTATAACGTTGTGGAGGCTTTTGAGCGATACAGTTGGGGAAGCGTCCTATATTTTGATCTTACATACATATACGCCGAGTTAGTGTGAGAGTGGATGCGGACGCTCTGCAAGGATGATTTAGAGGGCGGATCGAAGGGAATGAGACTAATCGGCGTAGTCAGAGGCCATGAGATTGCTATGACCGTCCGAATGATTAGGGAGCACTTCCATGTTGACATTGGGTTCCACTCCTACAATTTAGAGAGCTTGCCCACAGAGTACTTTTGCATAGATACTCAAGGGGGGCCTGTGGGATGAGATTAGACGTGTTGTTTAAACATGCCATATTCGGAGGGCAGATCGGTTTGTTGATTTGGTGTTGTTGGCAAATGCGCTACATCAAATTGTCTTTCTAAATGTCAACCTGCGGGACAATGATACCGAAGCAGTAATGACACAGGACGCTGTGGTGCCCGACTCTATTCTTATTTCTTTTGTGTAGGATGCCCTATGCAATATTTAGTGTAAATTCAACATTAAGGATCGGGTGACGATTCCCTATATTTGCCTCATTTCAATGTTTGTGGTCTGTGAGCGTGAGCTAAGACACAAGATCCAATACTTCCATGGCCTTTCTTTTTCAACACTATTCTTAGACCCACTACCGAATGAAGTTCCCGAATCCTATGTCCTAGTTCGCGGACCAGGAATGCTATTCCTGAAATGAGGCACATACGTGGAGTGGTCAAATGTACACTAAATGTTGCATAAGCATAAGACATTGTATATAAAAGAAATAAAGATAGAATTGCTCATCAAAGCATACAACACCACATTGTCCCGTGTTCTCACTGCTCCGACATTGTTGTCCTGCCGGTTGACGTTTAGAAAGACTATATGCTATAGTTCCTTTGCCAACCGCACCAAATCAACAAACCGATCCGCCCTTCGAGTCTGTTCCGTGTAAATATCACGTTTAATATCATCCTAATTTACACTCGTGCATCCACCTCAAGTGTCTATGCAACGATATTCCATGGGTAGATGATAGCAATCTCATGATCTTTAACTGTACCAATCATTCTCATGCCCTCTGGTCCACCCTCTAAATCATCCATGCGGAGCGTCCACATCGTTATATCCTCGAAAGCTAACCCGCTCCACACCATACTCAACTAGTATATGCTCTATTGGGTGTGTTGCCTCCCAAAGTGCCGAGCAATTACGATCTGAATGCTCGTGGAGGTGCTCATATCTCCCATCCCAGGTCGGTGCATACCGGTGGTGCCCGACTACTCGATGCTCCTGCGGTAATCGTCTCTGCTTTCTTTTACCTCCTTTTGGGCACCTTCTGGTGTAGATGATATATATAAATGAGAAAATGCAAGACTTGAAAGAAACCTCCAAAAAATTGAAATCCTAAGTTTTCTTCACTTCAAAATCAACCCCAAATGTGGTATTTTTGTGTGTCCTTGAAAATGTGGGTGATTTTGGTGTTTGAAAGATTTTGCAAAAAAATTGGTGGTTTTGAGCCCCAAAATTGCAACAATGGTGGTGGGGGTGGCTGCTTTTTCATGAGAGAGAAAGTGGGGGAAGGAGTGGTAAAAGAAATCCTAAAACGCTCTCTAAAGCTAAGTCAGCCGCCGGTACAATTCAAGGGCCTTTTGGGTATTTTGTCTGGCAGGGCTTAGTAGATAAGCTGTCAAATGTAGTTGAATATCTAGTATATCTTTCATCTTTGATGAATGATCACTTGTTTAAAATTTGCAGTGTAAGGAGCTGATTATGATATATCTTTGTTGCAGGGTCCAAAACTTTTCAACAATTTGGAATTTTACTTTGTTGGGGATTATGTAGAAGCTCACAAGACTGATCTCAAAGAGTTGGTTACAACTGCTGGAGGCACAATTATCGAGGCCAGGGATCAATTACTGTCATCAAGTAATGATGCAGATGAAGATGTGAAGCGGGTATCTTTGGTTGTTTACAATGCTGACCTTTCGGATCACTCTGAGTTTTACGATGAAGATTCTATAAGATTCCAAAGATTAGCTGCAGCTGAGGACATTGCTCAAGAATCTCGGTCTCAGACTATCCAACATATTTGGATTTTGGAATCAGTTGCTGCATGCCGTTTACTGCCTTTTACATCAGGGGTCCAGTAATGTCTTATAAACTCCATCTTGTGTATCTGTTATGTTATGTGGTTGGTGTTTTTTGTCCCTCTAGTCAGTGTAGCATAGATACTACTATTAGAACACTAAGAAAACTACTACATGGGTTTTGGTTGATTTCTTGTGTTGTGGTAATGCTTGAAACTTTTAACCCGTCCATCAGTTGTACAGATCGAAGCTATAGTGGAATAGAATGAAAAAGGGCAGCGGATTATGCTATTATTTTTCTAGCAACAAGTTTTATTAGTTGGCTAGAAATAGAATACAGTATGTGTTTTTCTGTTTTGGACAATATTCACAAAAATGGCAAGATTAATTTGTATAAGCATTTTGACCTTATACATAGTTTTTGGGTTTGGCGCATAAATATTTTATAGAACCCAATCTAATTTGTTATTTCTAAGCATATGTAATATTCAAAAACTTATAAAGTAATGAACAATAACATTAGATAAAAAAGAATGCTACGTTAATACCCTTAAGTTTTTTTTTTTTTTTTTAATGACTATTTCTTAAAAGTCAAAACCACTATTTCTTAAAAGACAAAACCACTTTTTTTAAAACCCAACTTGAGATGACATATTATATACGGAGTATTATTAAATTGTATTTTATATACTATTTTGAATAAAAACTATGTTATTTACGTTTTTCTTTTACCTTTTTCTTTTTTTCTTAAATAATTTTTTTTTAAATTTAAACACGTCTTGTTATACTTTTCATTTCTAATATATATATATATATATATATATATATATATATAATATATATATATAATATATAGATATAATATATATATATATATATAGAGAGAGAGGAGAGAGAGGAGAGAGAGAGAGAGAGGAGAGAGAGAGAAGAGAGAACCCGAGAACTAAAGGTGAAGCGTTGGATCAAAATTAACTCATTAAATGCATGATCGTCATCTTACCAATCCCATTTAACTTTTTGTATTATTGGAAATGTTAATAAAAAGCTCTCAAATTAACATTATAAATCAAATTTTCGGATTTTTTTTTATAAAAAAAATAATTTTTGTTTTTTTTAAAAAAATTGTAGATTTTTTAATTTTTCCAGAAAACATAAATTTTTAAAAAAAGTTGAAAAAAACATTTTTTTTTTCAAAAACTACATTTTTTTAAAAAACAATAAATTTTATAAACTTAGTAAATTAAAAAAAAAACTGGAATATTTAAAAAAAAAACTATAATTTTTTTAACCAAAAAATCAACGTTTTAGGAGCATATATGCATATTTTTTCAAGTGTATGTATACATATTTCTTATACTATAATATTCATAAGTAAATCATAAAAAAACACATTTTTACTTACTAATCTATAAACACAATAGTACATGTATTTTATTCGATACAAAATAAAAGAAAAAACATCATAAATGGTCCCTGTGGTTTTCCAAAATCTGATGTTTAGTCCCCGTGGTTTAAAAACCTCGTAGATGGTCCTTGTACTTTCAAAACTTTTGACAGTTGGTCCTTATCCCTCACACCGTTAGAACCCCACCGTTAACTCTTATTTCATTAAAATAATACAAGGGCAAATCGGTCTTTTCACCTGTGCCCTCTTCTTTATAAACAAATGCATGTCTGATATTTTGAAAAACCCTTCTCGCACCCACCCTCTTCTACTCTCTCTCTACTGTGCATCCAATTGCAAAACGAATTATGCGAGTGTCGAAGATGGCGATTTGTAGATGTGGAATGGAAACAACGAAGTTGACCTCATGGACGGATCGTAACCCAGGAAGGCAATTTTTGAATTGTTCAAGATGTGGCTTCGTAAGGTGGGTTGACCCTACGATGTGTGCTAGGGCATTGGTGGTGATTCCAAGTTTGATAAGATCAAAGAATCGATTGGAAGAGAGGGTTGCGATTGCTAGTGCACAATTGTGGAACTACCAGCTCATGTTGTTCTGTTCATGGATGTTTTTTTTTTTTGGTTTTATTTTAACCAGTAAGGTGGTTGAAGGATCTGGATGGTAATAGGATGGGGGTTTTTTGGTTTCTTTTGTACGCATCTAACTAGTTCAGGGGTTTTTGGATTGTGATGGAATGAGTATTTTTGGTTTCATTTTGTTGTATGAAGTGTAACAAATTAAGTTAATGGAAATGATGATTATGTATTTTGTTATAAATCAGTGGTTTTGATGTGCATTTTCGTATGATACATTGTTATAACAGCATCTTGCAAATGGTTAGGAATGGTATTTCAAATCTACATTGTTATACATGTATCTTTTTGAGAAAGGTTTGGAGAGGGTAATTCATAAGCAAAATGTTGATAAAATCATTACAAGTCTGTGTTTAAACATGAGACTTAGTTTCAACATACTTACTGATGGAAGGTCTTAACCCATACAAACATTACAAAAGACCTAATTACCATAATTTAAACAACCAAACCATAATTTAAGTTTCAAAAGACCTAACTACCCAAACATCCAACTAACTACTTAACAAAATTTCCAACCCCCTTTCCCTTTCCTTGTGTCTTCCCCTTTCCCTGTGTCTTCCCCTTTGATCCAACTTCACCAATGCCTCCCTGCCCTTTACATGTTCTAGAATTGTGCCCCTTGTTATGACACTTTGAACATGTGACTGCAAGAAATTTCCTGCTCAATTTAGTGGTTTGGCTGTTGGGCTCATCAACACCTCTCCTTCTCTTCTTTTTTGGCCTCCCAACCTACACATATGCATTTATTATATTTAAAACATAAACATACATGCTGGCATTAAAAGTACATATCTAGCCTTGTTGACATGACAACCTGTGTGTGATGTTTTGGTGGAGTTAAAGTGAATGGACAATCACTTTTTGGCCACATTGAACGACCATTTATTGGATCAATTTTGTTCAGATACATGGCTCTCCATGTTGATAACTTATAGCAAGGATGGACCCAATCCTCAACATCAGGGGCATCTTCTCCATTTTCAATTTTGTTCCATATAGCAGAAACAGCATGCCTACATGGGAAACCTGTAATCTCCCAGAACCTACAAGTGCAACTTCTTTCATTTAGGTTCACCACATACTGATCCTGCCATGTGCTTGCAACTTGGTACTTTCCTGCCCCATTATACTTAGCTACATACTTTGCTGCTTGAGTCTTAATCTCCTCTAAAATTATAGTTGCAGTATTACTTAGTTCCCCTTGACACTTATCTATTTCCTTTTGCACAACACACAATCTCTTCATGAGATACTCTCTAATATACTCTAAGCAGGTGATGATTGGTTTATCCCTACCTTCCTCTATCTTACCATTGAATACCTCACAAAGATTATTCAACAAACAATCAGTGTGTGCCCTACCTGTGAAAAACATATTCAAAAAGAGAAATTACAAATTTTATATTAAAACATAAAACTCAACAACTTCTTAATGACATACCACTGAAGTGAGATTTAGACCATGTCTCTGCAGGAATCTTACACAACCAAGAATGAGCTTCATCATTCATTTTCTTCAACTCATCCATTGCATATTTAAAGTGATTTAATGTTGTTGCTCTACCACATTCCCAAACCAAGTCACTCAACTCTTTTCCTTTCCATTGTTTCTTCAAATTCTCCTGAATATGCCTCAAACAAAACCTATGCTCTGCATTGGGGAATACCTTTGCAACTGCTGGTATTATCCCCTTAACAAATGCAGATATAGTCAGTTTCATTTATAAAAATAGAAAGTAAGGTACACTATCATGAGAAATAACCAGGTAATACATACCTTTTGTCTATCAGAAATGAAGGTAAAATTTGAATTTGCTCCCAATTCCAAGTCTTCTCCTAACAGTTCCATGAACCAGGTCCAAGAACTAGTTGTTTCAGCCTCTACCACTGCATATGCTACAGGGTATATTCCATTATTTGAGTCTAGACCCACAACAGTTAGTACCTGCCCAGGATACGGGCCTTTCAAGAATGTACCATCAACTCCCAGGAAATCCCTTAACCCAGCTTTGAATCCCAACTTCAATGCACCTAGACATATATAATATATATATATATATATATATATATATATATATATTCTTCTAAAAGTTCTTGTAGTAGTCGACAAGCATGGTTCAGGATACACATCTATCCTAACAGTTGAACCAGGATTAGTTTTTAGCAGTTCCAAAGCATAATCCCTCAGATACCCATATTGAAGTTGGTAGTCCCCACTAATCATACGTTCAACCATTTGCTTTGCCCTAGCAACCTTTTGAACTGACATACCAAGCTCCAACTTCTTACACAGCTCCTCGTGTAAAGCTTTGATTGGAATTTTAGGGTTACTCTGAATTTGTGGAACAATTAAGTTTGCTAAATATTTGGATGTACAAGCTTTAACTGATCTTGTCTGCAAAAATTTATGGACATCGTGTACTGTTTTCACCAACCAATCCTTATTCTCATCTGGCCTCGAGATATGGACTGCCCAAGGACATTTTCCTTTTTTACTAATCACATTTTTGCCCTTGCACTTTACCTTACTTCTAGTTGATGGCCCACCACATTCAACTGTTTCAGTAGATTGTCCCTTGCACTTTACCTTACTTCTAGTTGATGGCCCACCACATTGAACTGTTTCAGTAGATTGGCCCATAACACCTCCACATCTTACCCTTATCCTGATTTTATCATTTTTTGCTAAGTATAGGGACCTCCTTATATTTACAGCATGCGAATGCATGTAGTCCACAACTTCCTTCTTTGTTTTGAAACACTGACCCACCCTATATGGTTTTAAATGGATCTCCCCATGTGAGCATGGAGTTGACCTACTCAACTCCTGAAGCATTTTTGTCCTTTCATCTTCATAAAATCCTGCATACTGATAATCATCACTTTGAATAACTTCCAACTCTTCATCAACTATGTCATTCCCTATACTTTCGGGTTGCTTGTTTAAAATTCCATGTTCATCTATATCCATGGCACTTTGGAATTCACTCATGTCTACATCCACATCAAATTGCAAGTTAGACTCATGTACAATGTAGTCACTATCATCAGAATCATCTCCACTATAATCAGAACCATCTACATTCTGACTATAGAAAGCATATCCACTATCATCACTTACCATGCCCTCTAGAATTTCCATTTCTACTTGATTGTCTTCACCATTTGGTACACTGTACTCAGCATCAAAGTCAACATAAGTTGAATAATCATCTGCAAATGCTTCAAATTCATCGAGTCTTACACTTTGTTTTCCATCAATATCTTCACAAATTGGTTCCTCTGCAAGATTGCCTAAATTACCCTTACACACTTCATCTATGTGGCCCATGATCACTCATTCATTCACATCAATGACATTACTTCGTTGGCTAACTTGAGACAT